GTTATCAAAGGTGTAGTAATGGGGATCACCACTTATGGTGCAAGCGCGTCTCTGCACTGTCTGGCAAGAAAACTGGAAGGAAGTTTGCTGGCAGATCTGTGAAAAGGAGCACGGCTCATTGCGGCACTGCAGGCCTGTTGAGGTGCATGTGCACCTCTGTGCACAGGTCCTGTCACTCCAGAAGGAATCACCAAGCTGCACTGGTAAACCTTTGAAACAATAGAAAAATGAATACTTTACATTTTTTTACTTCAACTCGAAGAGATTCTTACTACGCAAACAGTGTTAATTTTTAAATTTTAGGATTCATTTTTGTTTATTGTTTTCACAGAGTGAAGATCAAAAAATGAAGGGCTAGAGAGGGGGATTGTCATTTAATATAATAACATTCTTCTCATAGAATTCTCGTAGAATTTTGATCAGCTGGCTATGATGATCGTTCTCTAGTTCAGGTCTTACTGTTGAAAGTACAGCCTCTTGATCCATGGTCCGTCCTGAAGGCCCAGCGACCGGGCACATGGACATTGCTGCTGAGACGGAAATTTGAGAACTCTCCTGTTGCGTTTCCTGAGAATGATCCAGGGATGGAAAAATGGTGAGCAGAATTGACTGTGTCATATCCAGCCTGAAAATGACATGTCACGCTGTTAAAAATAATTGCATGGTTATTTTGTATTTATATATCCCTGCATTTAACTTAAAGTAAGAGATGGCCACAAAAACTAAAACTATATGTTTTTACTATATTATATTTTAAATGGTACCAACCTGTATAGAATATGTTGTGTAGGCTATTTGCTCATAGTTCATCAGCACAAATGAGTACTGGCCACCCGATATCAGGACAGCTTGGACTGTTGTTTGCTGAAAAAAAACGCAACTTCTTGTTTTTAAAGTATATATATTCATAGGTATTATAACCCTATACTTCATATTGATTGCATAATTTAGTAAGAGGTGACTTACTGTTCCACTCGTTGGAAAATAGGCAATCTGATACCAAGTTGCAACAAAGACCCAGTTTGCATTAAAATTGAGTCCTGGAAAGTATTGATTAATGTCCCGTGTAGCTTGCTGGAGAACACTGCCACTGGTGTATTGGTCGTAGTAGATCTGACCATTTCCTCTGTTGTCTAAATCTGTCCAGAATGGAGCGATGATGTCTCTGGATCCATACATTGGAAACAGTTGCGGGGTGTAGCTATGCCATGATGCATCAAAGGTCAGATGCCCATTGTGGTTTACCTAGAAAATAAAAACATTCTTGTAAGTCAAAACCAGTATAAATTAGGTATCAACTGTAGGCACTTCAGACACAGGTGTTGATCACTTGTTATTAAAATGGTGGATCTGATATCACTGTGTTGGTCTTGTTCCTGCATCATCATAGTAATATTGGTCCAGGATCAATATTACAACTGACCAGTCACA